AAAGAAACATTTCTTCTTTATCGACTTGCACGCAGAGAGAAGGGAAGAGGGAACATGTTGTCTCCACAGTACACTGCTGCATGAAAGAGTATGGAACATCCATAGACGATGCATGCAAGAAGCTCCAAGAAATGGTGGAAGACGCATGGAAGGATATAAACCAAGAGTGCCTCAATCCGACCACATTCCTCGCCCCGCTACTCCAAACGTCACTCTATTTTACACGAATCTTAGAGAACGTGTACAAGTACATCGATGCATACACCGAATCTAACACTACAATGAGAGAGTGCATCTCCTTGTTGCTTGTTCAACCTGTTCCTATATGATCGTGTCATCCATAGTATGAAGCATTTTCCTTTTTGTTTTGTAATAACAATCCATCAGGAGCTGTAGTCGATAGAATCCTTATCAGCCATGTTCCTGTAGGAACTCTTCTTGTTTGAGGAAATAAAAGCTGCTTTCCGGTGATTGATTATTAGCCTATTGTTTAATGATTAATATTACTTACATGAGAAGTTAGTTTTCAACTCATCCGGTGACACGCTATAATCCGCTGATATTAATGTGTTGGTATTTTAAAAATTATTAAGAGCAGTTTAAAAAATAAGCTAAGTATTGATTAGGGTTTGAAAGTAGTGAGATTGTGGAAGAAAACAATGGGAAGTTTATTGTAATTTTAGATTGAATGAGAATAATTTTAGAATAATTACATAATCTTTTATCTCCTTTCTTAGCCTCTTCTATCGAGACCAAAGTCTCCTATCTGAAATAATTAATGTGTTATTTTAGGATAATTACATATCGCAACATTTGCCAAGCATGTTTGTTTTGGATATTGGTAACCTTTGACAGGGACTCATCAGAGATATGAAGATGTCTAATGGTAGCATCAATTTGAGCACTGGCAACATTTCTTTCTTTCTTATTAAGAACGTTATCTGCCTCATTTTCTTCTTGTGCATAGGTCTCATTAGCTATAGTTTACCAATTATAATAACCTGCTTCATGAAATTTCATCTCATGATCATCATTTGAGATAGTTTACATAGATTCACAATAATTCAAATGATCAACTTACCAAAAAAAATAATTCAGATGATCAAAGTTTTTATGTCATAATGTCGATTCATCAGTAGTTTTTTAATCATCCTCATAGTTACTATAAATTTTTTAATCATAAATCAAATATTTTTAATCATAAAAAATAACATAA